CACACACACACACACAGGCATCTCAGTAATGAGCAACATGCACTCATTTAATTTTTTCTTCAACACAGACAGACATTTACAAATGCAACCCCCCAACCCTTCCCCCCTCCTCCTCCACATCTGCTTTCATGCTGAAAATCAATGGCTGCGGAGCCCAGCTGGACAAAGTAGTAGTGGAAAAATAAAGAAATCAATGCAAGCTTATTAACTGAGCAGAGCTTCCTTTACCGCTGACACAAAAATATGTGTCTATGTATAAAGTGTGTGTGAGAGTGCGTATATAGCTGCCAGTTTGTACTTGACTTAGCCTGTGTCTGTGAATGATGGCGGTTGTAGGAAGGATGTGCGAGTGCATAAGCATGTGTGTGTCCTCCTGCGTGTGTCTGCCAGTCAGAGTGTGTGTCCCTGAATGTTGGTGGCTAGTGCTTGTGTACAAGTGCTACTTTGTAGGCGTGCTCTGCATGTTCATGAGCGTGCGTATGTGTGTGTGTGTGTGTGTGTGTGTTTTTGTTGTGCGCATGCTTCAGACTATCGCTCAAAGTCAGTGTGTTACTCTTGGGTTAGTGCCACAGTGTTCTCCCTTTGCCTTGGCCTCAGTCTATTTGTGGACAAAAGGATGCTCTGAGACAAATGATTTAGCACCTGTCAGTCAGAGCAGAAGGACAAGAGATGAGAAAAGAAAGAGGTCAGAGATGGGGAAAGGGAAAATGATGGAGGCTTTCAGGCAAACCCATGAAGGCTGCAGAGAGTAAAAAGGTAGAAGGGGAAAGGGGAGGGAAGAGTTCAAGCTGGAGAAAGCGAGAGTTGGGACTAAAAGAGAATTTACGATTTAGCTCTGGGTCATCACATAGCTCAAATTCCTGTGAGCAATTTTCCTCAGGAAATGACAGCTTCTATTTCTGTGGAGTTGTTTGCCTAACGCCGGCTCACAGGAACTGTGCCTGGCCTTCGGGCACAGACCTTCCCTCATAACAAGAGTTGCCATAACAACGGATGAGGCCGACCTGCACCGGTGGCAGCACAGGGATGTGAACTTTGCTTCTGCCTCCAGCACTCTGGCATGTCTGCTACACATCAGACACATCAACACCTACCCTCTTTGGAAAAATAAGGGGAAATCATAAGAGCATTATGTGGAGAATCTTTGTCGCTGTGAATGTTTGGCCGGCCAGGCTGTGATTGTTCTGCAGAGGCTGATTTGTGTGGGGCGTGAAACACACAGCGCTATGTCAAGAATAAAGAGACTATTGTAATTTCAGATATGCTCAAATAAACATAAACACATGAACTCCAAGTTGCTCTGGAGTCCAGTACAAAATGATGCTTGCAGAGCTGCAGTGTGTGGATGCATGTTTAGAAGGTAGACGCCTGACACTGAATGCTGAACAGGCTGTGTGATGTGCGGTTTATTAGATTTCCTTTGGCATTTGTTGACTGACATCTGCCCTGGCAGGTCTTTGGAGCCACTGTCCTTTAACACCCAAATCTATGCACACAACATTAGGCTCTAATCATCCTATTTGCACATTTTCACACACTCAATAGAGATATATTGCTGACCTCGTTTTTTAAAACCAAACAAAAGCAGCCCCCTCTATGAAAACGTCGACAGTGCCGAGAGCGGCTTAGCTAACAAGCATCTGATTGTGCAGATTACGCATGTTCCGCAGAGGATTACTGAGACTGAAATGAACAAATTGACCTCTTACCACTGAAATCCCACATCAGCATGACAAAAGATGAGAGGCAAGCACAGTGGGGGCAAACTGAATCTGAAATAGCAGAGCATGTACTGTAAGACAAGTTGCAGTCAGCAGCATTATTTAAAGAAACCGCTCCCCGAATGTTGTTTTATTTTTGCCATCGCCTTCTTCCCACTTGCAGACCCTGATAACTCCATGGGTTATCTTTGTCTCCACATATCAGCCTTTTTACACGTGGCACAATTTCCGCTCAGGCTTTTTTAACGACACTGAAATGAGCAGGGAAATGCATTAGCTGTTTTTCTCTACCTGGCAGGGTGTCATTTGCACTGATGTTGGTCTCCTATTCTGACAACAAATAAGAGACTGTGCATCCTGTTCTGTGTGTATTCTTAGCTGAGGGCAGGTGAGTGTCTTCCTCTCTGGTTCCCTTCTGACACTTTTCAAGCAAGTCAAAGCTATTTAAAAGTCATCTCACTGTGAGAAGTAACAAAAGCTCAATGACAGACCAAGGCCTTATTCAAAATTCAATTTTTTGTGCTTTCTCTCTCCAACAATGGAACACATTATTTTTCTCCACGCTTGTTTGGAGAGCTCCAGCGAGGAAATGGCATGCTTTTGTTAATAAGTGTCTCTCTGTTTTTGCTGAGAGAAGATGATTGAACAGCTTATGTAGGTCACATTGTATTAATCTAGCTGGCTATCCTGCTAAATGCGCTCTAAATCAAACATGCCATATTAAAATCCAGTTCATTGCTCATTTGCTTAATAATGCAGTGTTGCTGCACTGAAAATGACTTCTCAGCCACTGAAATAGCAATCCTAGTGCTTTTGCACTTAGGTATTAAATTAGTGGTCTGGATTATAACACTACAAATGAGACATGCTTGATACCAATCTGACAGAACAGTTCAAACACCATGCAAGCTGAATATTTATCAGTCACAGTTTATTTCAGACACAGGACCCTTTCATCACTTAGCTGTAATGAGATCTGTGTGCTTTCTAATAATTAATAAACTAGATGATCTCCAAATCATTCAGAGCGAGATGTAAACGCTATCAATTATCTGTCTGGGTGATTCTGCAATCTTAAGCAAACTAGAAATTTCACAAGACAGACAAGCTTAATGGGATACGGAGACACGGCCAGGGTACACATGAATGTTTTATAACAATGTGAGACTTTAGATTGGATCATTGAGATGCCTGCTTCTCTACTGGATGAAGATTCTGGAGACCGAGGCAGGCGGCTCGCCAAAGCGCAATAAATCCACCTGCTGTCACTGGAGCAGAATGACGGGCTCAGTGTGACATTTCAACACGTATTATATCTCCAACTCTGCAGTATCTTCATACGATCCGCTCGTGATGAGCTATTGTGAACACTGCTGGGCTACATGATGTTGGACAGCAAGTTTGAGGCCGTTTTGATGTGAACAGTCAAGCAGAACAATAAATCCCTTCCGGGCTGTGTAGAAATAAAAAAAGTGCATGGATGAGTTGCTCAGCGATGGATTTATATCAAAGGAAGATATTGCTGCAAGGTGCAGCAAGCGGCCAATGCTGATGTTTTTTGATCAGATGATTAGAGCTGTCTACCACTTGAGATTTGCTTTGAGGAGGTAAATGTGGTTCCTGAGATTACAGGGGTCAAAACGGAGCTTCTGTCTCTTTGCTGCACATTTGCACATGCATGTGTCTTCGCAAGACAAAGAGAGAGACTGAAATAGAGGGAAAGTGTGAGTGTGTTTGCGCATGCATTAAAAAGACAAGAGAGAGGTCCTTGAGGCAACCTGCACATCTTTTATCACATCTTTAATTAATTGAAGCCCATAATAGAAGCTGGTGCAATTCCACTGAATAGACACAGTTGAATATAAAACAGGCAGCAATGCAGAGATACTCTTATGTATCTTTCCGTCTTTTTAGCAACCCTGCCCTGCCATTTCACTGTCATCTGCTTATACAACAAGTCTGCGGGTACTGTCAGTCTTTGCTTTTCAGGTTGAAATACAATGGCATGCAGGGAAAGGCTTGTTGCTGTAAGTTGAGTGATTGATGCTTACTTTCGTCTCTTCCTCCACCTACTTTCTACAGGTGTTGTCTCTGAGGGTCTACCGTAAAACCACCATGGCCCTCTCATGGTTCTCCAGACTCGCCCTGATCATCCTGACCTGCATCCCTCGACCATCTCTGGGGTGCCCCTCCGGCTGCCGCTGCTACAGCCTCACGGTGGAGTGCGGATCACTTGGGCTCAAAGAAATCCCACAGGGTGTCCCCTCTGTCACTGAAGTGAGTTGCCCCCCATCCCCAACCCCTCCACCTCCCACATCAGTGGTTTTGTGTCAGTTGACTCCCTCTCTGATCCATTCTTATTACCCTGAAATGATTGTGGTTAATCAATTCGCCGTGACCCTCTTTGATGTAAGCCTGAGGGAGGGGCTGCACTGTTGGCTGTGTAATTATTCATTCTTGCTCAGAAAGTGACTCTTGCACATCCTCTGATCATCTGTTGAGAAGACGTTTAACATTACACCGTCTTTTCCTCTTGGGTTCGGGCCCCCCAACATTACTGCAGCTCATGAATATTAATGAAAAGCATGTCCCGGATAAATTGTTCCATTAACCTCAATCAGCAGGTCTATCTCGCCGATCATGCTTTACCTCATGGCCTGTGTTTGCTTCTTTGACAACATCACCAATGAATGCACATTACCAATCATGCAAACATCCATGCATTATGGATCAAACACACTCTCTTGTGTAGCTCCAATCATTCAAAAACATGTTTTGCTTGAAGATGTTTGCCGAAGGCCTGTGATTTGTGCAGCATCTGGCAAAGGAACTGAACCACTGAAAAGGGAAAAATGCTGCGCAACACACATTGTCAGTCATTAATATCATGATCTTCAACTAGCTCATTCCACATTGTTTGTATTGCCTACATTAACATATATCCAAAGCTCTGCACAGCCCGGTGAGTGCAGATAGCTCTAAAGGTGGCTCCGTTGTTAACATAATCTCTCCTCATGGTTAATACATTTTTCTACCCAGTGTGCACAGCACAGCAACAGGCCACGCTCACTTTCTTGTACAAAAAAAAATCAAACATCTCATCCCCTCCTCTGTGTCTCTAATGCAATTAATTTGTGACCATTCTACTAATTGAATTTGTCCTGTTTCTCCCTACAGACCATCTTCCTCCAGGACAACGCTATAGTGCAGATCCGTCTTCAGGATCTGACTCGGCTGGGCAGCCTCCATTACCTCTACCTTCAGAATAACAGCATCTCAGCCCTGGAGCCTGGGGCGTTCCTCAGTCAGGGGCAGCTGCTAGAACTGGCCCTCAATGGCAACCTCATCCACCTGATCACCCCAGACATGTTTCGGGGTCTAGAGCACCTCCGGATCCTGTACCTCGCCGGGAACCAGATCACTCGAGTGCAGGACTACACCTTCAGGGGACTGCAGGTTGGCAAGCTGACATAAAGGAATGGATGGACAGCAATGTTTAATGGTTTAATGCTATTTTTGTTCCAAAAACATTCAGCCTAATCCTCTTTGGTAAAGTGAAAAAAGGTTAGCGCTTGCCAACAAACCTAAAGCTATTACAATATGTGATGCCTTTTTTCGGATTATAAAGAATGATGTCGGCAACTGTACTACTATTCATGACAACTTGTCTGACTAATCTGTACCATACAGTAATACAGTACAGACTGTGGAATTGAGTCATCCTATCCTTACATTTGACATTTCTTTCCCTCCTCCTTTAACCTGCACATTTTCATTCCCCCGCCTGTCTTTTTGCTGTCTGCAGCGTCTGCAGGAACTCCACCTGCAGGAAAACAGCATAGAGCTGCTGGCGGAGCAATCTCTGTCTGGCTTGTCATCTCTGGCCCTGCTCGACCTCAGCAGAAATCACCTCCGCACCCTGGGAGCCTCGTCCCTCAAACCACTCGTCAGCCTGCAGGTACTCCGTGTCACAGGTAAGCACATTGAGCAAATAATTCCTAGACAACATTATGTTGTACTGTAGTATGTCATAATCCTCCAAGACTTAACTGAAGTCAAAGTGCTTTGAAAAATGCTTCCATACCACAATTTTAAAGAACTGACACTGCCAGAATGCACAGCCACAACCAACAGACTCATGTCAATGAAAATTAAGTGCCCTTAAACATATTTTACATATCAAACGGTTTCACCCAACCATAAACCTTAAATGAGAAAAAAAAATCCCTCAAAGACACAATTTCAGAAGAATAAATTGCCTTTGAAAAAGGACCTCTTATCCAGAAAAATAATACAATAAATTATCATAAGAAAAATAGATTTGTTTACCAAGCAATATCACTTCAGCTCTCTTCAGCTCTCTTCTATCCAATCACACTGTCTTCATCAACAGTTTTTAGCAGTAGGAGTTTGCTCAGTTTTTTTTCTGAGCACTTTAAGGTTGCTTTCAAAGGGGTCCATTCTTGATGATGCATACAGCTGTTGAAAAAACTATACACTTGATTTACCAGTTCCCTTTTTCTGCTTCCATTCCTCACCTCCAGAGAACCCATGGCGCTGTGATTGTGCTCTGGGCTGGCTAAGAACCTGGATCAGAGAAGACGGACAGCGCCTGTTGAGCTCTGCTGAACAGCGTCGGCTGATGTGCTCTGAACCCCCTCGCCTCTCCCACCTCAGCCTGGTGGAGGTGGCTCCCAACAGCCTGGTCTGCATCCCCCCTGTAGTGCAGCTCGAGCCCAGCCACCTGACTGTGCGACTAGGTGAGAGCCTCCGCGTCTCCTGCCAGGCCTCGGGATACCCTCAGCCTCAGGTGACGTGGAAAAAGTCCTCCCATGGCAAGCCCCAGTTATCACCTCGAGGCTTGGTTCAAGAGCTGGGACCCAATGGTGAGCTCTTCAGGCCTGGTGCTGGAGGTGTGGTGACAGCTCTGCCCAGCAGTGGAGGGATCAAGGTCGGAGGTGTTGGAGGAATCCAGGGGCTTGTGCGTGGGGCTGAGGAGGGTGGCGAGAGGGACAGCTTTGATCCGGACATGGGCAGCGGCATGCTGTTTCTCAGCAATGTGACTGTAGCGCATGCTGGGCGCTACGAGTGCGAAGCCTGGAACCCCGGTGGTGTAGCTAGAGTTACCTTTCATCTGGCTGTCAACATGTCCTCTTCCTCATACTCATCCCAATTCTGGCCTCGTTTGAACACGCACCCCTTTGTTTCCTCTTCATCTAACTCCTTCTATCAGCCGGAAGTTCTGGATGTTAGCCAGGAGCCACTTTATGAACAGGACAGCATGGACTTCAGTGCTCTGGGCCCTGCTACGCAGACCGCCATTGCTGTTGGCATCTCTTTGCTGGCGCTCACCGCCATTCTTCTCTTGATTATGATCTACACTCGTCATCAGCAGTACCGCAAAGAAGATGGCGGCTCCTACTGCACCAGCAAGGAAGAGAGCATCCTCTATGTGAATGACTACTCTGATGGGCCCACCACCTTTGCGCAGCTGGAAGAGTATCGTGACGATCACGGCCACGAGATGTACGTACTTAACAGAACCAAGCCCGTCCTGAGCTCCACTTCATCCAGGTGTCCCATGATGAGTGGGTTCGTCCAGCATGGTATGAAGGAGGCTCTCCTGGACCACGAAATGGTGCAGACACTGACCAGATCGGGAGGAATGGGGCTTCGCAGAAACCCAGCAGACGGAGGAGAGGGACCGCTAACAACAGACCCAGAGGAGCTCTTCCTCAGTCAGAGTCTCCTCTTCGGATCACAGGTTGCCTACGAGATCCACTGCTAAGGGGTTTTAATTGTGTTCTTACATAAAACAATATGTTGATGGACTTAATTAAAGACATTAAAGGAGATCACCTTGGTGAATGATTTGAATCAGATTGCTTCAGATTATTATGTGGTCTTCAAAAGAGGGGAAAGCGTCAGTTAGTTGTTGCTGGGAAACCTGGATCACAATCAGCATCTCAGAGATCTTCATCTGAATGATTGACATTAAGATGGGTCCGTAGTATGAGCAGTGATAATTAAAGGAAAAATAACAATGGAACCATACCTTTCTATCTCAGACAAACTATCTAAGACAACCCTTTAAAGATAATTAGAAGTGGCTAATATTATCACAAATGATGAGTTAATCTAAATCCTCAAAGAAAATGAGACGTGCAGCACTAGTTGCAACTAAAAAAAGCAATGGTTCATATTTTGTACTTTTTCATTTCTTTAGGTTTTGTTTTGTGTGTTTTGTCAGTGTTTTGTGTAAATATAATGAAGCTAATTTTCACTGTGAAGTAGAGTTGTTTTGTGGACCCTGTTGCAGTTCCCATTAGAATTAGACCTAAACTGATCCTCTTACTGAACCTGCATTGTCATTATCCACATGTGTGAGTGGGCGTGGGTGGGTGGATTTGTTTAAAATTATTCATTTCCACCATAGCATTGTATTCCTTGATGTTAATATGTCATATTTTTTCTACTTATTTGTTGCAACACTAGAACAAGGGATTAACATTTCTGTTGTCTGAAATTGAATCTTGGTGGAATTAATTCCATTACCATTAGTCTGTAACAACCATTCTAATGTGAATATTGTACATTTTGTCTTCGGTTTCTACATAATAAAATGTATTTTAAAAGATTCATTGTTTCTTTTCTTACAAGGAAAGCCGGTCGCTTTAACACTGCTATTCTGCAAGGTCTATAGTTAAACTGTACGGTAGGAGTATGTCTCTGTCTTCTTGTTCTTTCCTTCTACCCATAAGACTTAGCAGGTGAGTGTGAAAGACGTGTTGTTATAGAGAGACTGTGTGGTGATCAGTCTGTGAGAGGTCCATGGTTCATAAACTCTATTCTTTCCCTTTGCTGCTAAGCACGATAGTATCGGGTGTGCTTTCAGAGCTAATTGTGGCATAAGATAGCAGAGTGCTATTGGAAAAGTCTTTTGAAACGGCAAGCAATGTGTGCTTCATACCAAGACCGAGAGCTATATTGATTCTCATTCAAGAATACAAGTCAATATTCTTTTTTTATTCTTTTATTCGTTTCTTATTAAACTCAATAAGAAACACAACTGAAAGGTATGTTCCTCATTAAAAATGGTATTTTATTATTAATACTGCCTGTCAAAGGCACTATACAGCATCAGCACAATGCCAGGATGTTAAGTGGAGTAAAATCTGGCAATGTATCTTTAACCTGTTTCAATAGTGACAAACATTCCATTTGAGGTTGCTGTAAATTTGATCTATTTTCTATATGTTAATTAATTAATTAATTAATTAATTAATTAATACAGAGATAAGGTATTGCAATATTTTGCTGTATAGTCCAGGTAAACAGTAATAGACAAATCTAATTTAAAGGAATAGCTCAGCATTTTGGGAACTATTCACCTTTTCTATCTAAATCAAAGCTTGCGGGGAAAAAAACTGAAAAGGCACTATCCAGAGTCAGTGTTTGGTTTGTCCGTTTTGGGCTACTGTAGAAACATGGCAGTACAACATGGCAGCCTCTGTAAGAGTGCCTGCTCCCTCTGTAGATAAAGAATTCTCCAAATAGATTCCTTCAAAGCTTACACACTTGGCCTCTAAAGAGTTATATAGATATAACAACATTGTGACATTTGTCATTTATATGAAAGGGATTGGTGTTTTTGTTCTGTCAAAACTCATGTTTGCTATTTTAATACTAAGGCCTCTGTTGAAGGATTACATGGTGCTCTGCAAAATTAGGCAAATCTCTCCTGTTTTTATGAAACCTTTTCAAATCCCAAAACCATCAAAAAGGATGTTCTTCTTTCTAAAAAGCTAACAGCTTAAGATTTTCTCCCGAACAATAGCAGTATACTAGGTACATGAGTAAATGTATCCACCTTCGAATGACAAAGCAATTGACTTTCTTATTAACCTCTCTTAACATATGGACGATGTTCTTGTCTATGGCCCATTTGTGTCGGTGGTCAGCATTAGACTGAGTGGAGCAGAGGACGACAACATCACTGTTCAGTGTTCAGTGGCTCGATACTTAGCAGCTATCAGAAGTGCTGCCAAGGTCTCCAATCCCGCACAGCCATACACATTTCACTATATGACATTCGCTTGCTGAGGGATGATGGGAAGGAAGCAGCCACCGTGACGGTGAGGAATGAAGGACACACGCTGGTGCTGGAATATCATTTCCATCAGTGTCACAAAGACAACTACAGGTTTCACCTACACTTTATTTACAGTCTACTGACAGCAGTGAAGTGGGACAGGAAATCATTTAATTGCAGCCAGTATTACTCTTAATCACATGCAGTATTGCATGTGAATCACATGCAGTATTGCATATCATCATAATGTTCTGCAGCCCCACAAACTGTGATGCACTGTGTGTTCTGACACCTTTCTATCAGAACCAGCATTAACTTTTTAAGCAGTTTGA